GGGCGATTGGAGGAAGTGGTTGGCGCGGGGGTAGGGGCCTGGGAAGGAGGTTTCGAAAGCTGCGAGTTCCCCAACACGCTCTGTCCAAAGCGACAAGACGGGTGCAGCCCTGGTGGACTGTCCCCTAAACTGGCCTGGCCGTCGCCCTCTGGGGGCGGCCCTAGAGCCCCCGTCCCCCCATCCTTCAGCTGCGTTTCTTTCCTGTCCTTGCAACCCTCTCCCAGCTCCCCACAGGGCAATATTCTGGGGTTTGGGTCCCTTTGGTTTGGTTTTGTGTCTAAATAGCTTGATTTATAGTAACATCCTTTGCTGATTATAAAATTAATATGCAGCTATCGTAGGCGATTTGTAAAGTAGAGAAAACAGTTTTCAGTGTTAAAACCCCTTTGGTCCCATTGTCTAGAGATGCCCGGCGGTGCCCAGGGGCTGGGCAGTGCATGGGGCCAGCCCCTGTCAGCGTCTGTGTGTTCTCTCCCTGGGTCAGGCAGCCTGTTCAACTTGGGGTTTTCATTGTTGCTAAGTGTGAAAAGTCCTCCTAGTGACTGCCCAGCACACAGCCCAGGGGCTCAGCCCCATCTACCCTCTTGGTCCCGGGAAGACAGCGTTTGGGCTGGACCCTTCCGGAGGGGAGGTGGGAGACAGCAGGGAGGGCTTCAGAGCCCAGTGTTGAGTGGGGACAACACAAGTGTGTTCAGGGATGAGGCAGGTAAATTGGGTTTGGCTGAAACGAGGAGTCCCAGGTGGAAGGGAGGGTGAAGTGGGAGTTTTCTGCAGACCTTGCCAGGGACGGAGGCTGGGAAGCAGTGTGAGAAAATTTTGCTAAATCTCACCTGCTGGAAACCCACCTTCTCCTGTGGTGCGCGGGGCAGCTGCCCCCCTCACTGGGAGGCCTTGACTGCCTGGCCTGGCTCTACATGCTTCCTCCTTCCTGCTCTTAACGCTCAGAGAAGGCTAGGGTCTCTGCAGCACTCGTTCCAGGGGGAAGGGGGAAGAATTGGATTCCTACCTATGACATGCAAAGAACCCAGAGGGGGGGGGGGATTTGAGTGCTCCCTCAGGTTCAAAGTTAAGAGGTAAAGCCGAAAATTCAATGAGAAGAAATTTCTCTGTAAATCCACACATAGACCCTCCCCTCAAAATAAAAAATCTGCTGTGATTTTTTTCCACAGGCTCCTAATCACTGGGACTGAGTCTCATTCTCTTTTTATTATTCATGTCTTTCCATTTCTCGGCATCTGCTGTGTGCCAGGCCCTTTAGGGGACCCTTTCATGTGTCCTCACAACATGGGTGGGATGAAGGGTGAGGGAAACTGAGGTCCAGAGAAGGAGAGGGACACAGAGTCCTCAGGGTGCCACCCGTAGCAGTGCCTCCAGCCCTTGGGCCCCAAGTGGAGCGCCATCTCTACCCTCAGCCTCCCTGCGGCCAGGCCCCTGGGGCGAGAGGGGCCTGGAAAGCACCTGTGGAAACCAAGTCCCTTAGCCCAGGGTCTGAAAGGGGCCAGCTTGCTCAGACTTCAGCGGGCTCTCATCCCCAAAGACGCCCACGGTCAGCATTGGTGGAGACCACAGACTGAGCAGGACATGGCAGTTTGATAAGTTCCAGGAGAGAGAGGTGTGACCTGGACCTGGGTGAGGGCGAGGTGGCCCCTCTGACCTATCTGGGCCCCACAGCTCAGCCTGGCCTTTGCTGTCTGCAGGGGGGGGAGGGATGGACTGGAGGGGCGGGAAAGCAGGCCGCCTGCCTCCTGTTCCTGAGGCTGAGGCACAGCTCCCCACACCACACCCACCCCTTTCTTCTGGCAGAGCTGGATGGTGGTTGGATTTTAGTCCCTGCTCAGGTCTCCCCTTATTCACTGGGTGAGTTTCTGCGTTGCTGAGCAGAGAACACATGCTTCATTACATCTTCCTTCTACAACTTTCTGGTATTCCCCCAGAGATGATATTTGCTTAAGTTTTTGCTCACTCATCTCTTTTGAACTTGAAGCCAAGTCTTCTGACCCCCGGACAGTCCTAATACACTTTCCACGTGGCCAAGCCTGTCAGTTAACCTCTGCATTCTGATGAGGGTGGGGGACCCCTGCTGGGACCAAGGGCCAGCCCCCCACCCCCACCCCTGTCCCTGGCCTCCCCTCCTGGATGGGTCAGGGAAGCAGGAATGCCACCTCTTCAGCTCCCTCCCACGGAGGGAGGAAGCTGGAAAGAGGAAGGCAACGAAGAGGCTGTGTGAAGAGTGGCGTTGGGGGCCGGGTGGGAGGTGCGCCTGGGGCGCCCAGGCCAGTGTTTAGGACAGTAGGTGGCTGGAAACCCCAGACCTCTGGCATCTCTTGTTTCCAGGTCACCTGGCTGCCCTCTGTGCCTACATGGCCTGGGTCACACTTAGGACCTCCATCACAAGGCTGGGCGGCTTTCTGCCTGTTTCTGTGGACTGGCAGGGATGGGTGAGAAAGAACTCAGCACCCGCAGGCACTGTTTACTGCTGTGTTCCCCCAACCACCAGGAGCGTGTGAGAGTGAGGCTGCCAAACCCTGCCGCCCCCACAGCTGCCTCTGACAGCTCCTCACCAGCCCCTGCCTCCTGCCAAGGGAGCAACAGCTGAATTAACACTGCAGGAGGAAGTTATTGGTAGGAGGACATTTTTTTTTAAAAAGTAAAGATGGGGGAGGGTCAGAGGAAGATAGGTTGTTGGGTTGCTGGGGGAGTTTGCCGCCGCTGGAGGGCATTGGGCAGAGGCCGGATAGCGAAGGTGTGAGAGGGGCAGCCGGAAGCAGGGAAGTGCCCCCAGCAGCCTGCCTCCTCCCCAACGCCCTCAAGTCACGCCGGGCAGGGTTGCTTCTGCCTTTTGGGTGCTGGGTGCTGGGCTGTGCTTCCTCTGAATGTCTCCTGGGGAGTGGGGGGGGCACTGGACCCCAGGCCCCTCCAATAATGGGTGGGCTGGGTTTTCCCTGCCTTGCTCAGCCTCCCACCCCCGACTCTCCTTCCTTCATCCCAGCAAGGGCTGAAATACTGCAGCCCCACCCAGGAATCTCTGTAAAGTGAGCCTGGACCCCCTTTCCTCACATTCTCCATGGTGAAAATACTTCTTACCTCAAACCTCACGAAGAAGCCCCCTTTCCGGGAGCTCTGGCTGCCTGTTGTGGGGACCTGGCTGGGTGGGAGGCGGTACTGGGGTGCCCAGCCCGTGTTCAGGACGGCAAGGAGGTGCAAACAGCCTGCCTTCTGCATCTGTTCCTCAGTTCTAAGCTCACCTGGCTGCCCCCTGCACCCCCACACTTGGATGTCACTTTGGGGGGCCCCTCTCATTCTGCTTCTGTTCACGCTGGCTGGAACACACCCTGATGTTCTCGAGGGCTCAGACTGTGTGGCCTCTGGGAATCTAGCTCAGTGTCCAGCAGGTGACACCTGATGAAAGGCAGGAGACATTCTGATGGTCAGGAAGGACTCCGTGAAAGTGGCTGCAAATGGAATTTCTACGGGGCGGGGATGGGGGTGTGTGTGGGGGGGTGTTATTCCCCAAATCCTCTTCAAAATGAGATCTTGTCCCTGAAATCCCTCCCATACCTGCAGTGTCTCTTTTAGCAGGTCACCTGATAGCATCTTTTACACTTCTTTTTTTCTTTTTTTCTTTTTTCATGTGGAATCCAAATGTGGATTCTCTCTTCTTTTTTTTTTTCTTTTATTTTATTATTAGTTTCAGGTGTACAGAACAATGCAGTAGTTATCCTTTTCACTTCCTTTTTCTTTTTAATTGTGATGAAACACAAAATAAATTTAGCAGTCTTTACCATTTTACATGTACTGTTCAATTATTAGTATATTCACATTGTTGTGCAACCAATCTGTAGAACTTTTTCATCTTGCAAATCTGAAACTTTATACCCATTAAACAACTTTATACTTTTTAAAGTTTAAAAAAATTTTTTTACTACAGAAAATTTCACATATATGCAAAAGTAGACAGAGTAGTTTAGTGAATCCAAATGTCCCCAACATTGGCTTCAGCCAATGATCAACTCACGGCCACGTGTTTTATTTACACACCATGCTCCATCCCTCCCCACCCAACTGTGTGGAAGCAAATCAGAAGCATCAAATCATCGGTCCTATTTCAACATGTAACTAAAAGATGGGGCTCTATAACATCATCATAAGACTTTTGTCACGCTCAGAAAAGTAACAGTGAGGTCGTACGGTCCATGAATGTGATTGGTTGATATGGTCTTAGGTCTCTGTCTAGTATGTGACCTGTGCAGTGGTGTCCCCCTCTCCCCTTTCTCCCTCCCCCTCTCCGTCTCCCTCCCTCTCCCTCTCCCTGCATAACTCTCTTGCTATCCTTTATCTTCTGTGACAGCATCAGAATGAACCCAGCTACAGAACCCCACCGCCCACCGCAGCCCACGCCAAGGCTCCATCTGGCCCGTCCTCCAGGATCTGACACTTCTCTGCTGTTGTCTGTGTATCTCCTCCTCTCTTGTCACTCTTCTCCCCGCTGGACACCTGTGGTCACATGGACATTGGGCATCCACGCGTCTAGATGTGTCTCCCTCTCTCCACCGCCTATGCCTTGAGCTGATCCCTCATCCTGCCCTGACTGGCTCTCCAGCTTTTGTCCTCTGCTCCTTTCCATCTCCATGGATGAGAGTTCAGCCCCAATACCCCTGTTTGCTTCTTCTGTGGTGGGTGCACTCTGCGCTCTGGGTGCCGGGTCTTCAGGCCAGGTCTCCTCTCCTGTGGTTCCCTGCCCCCTGCAGGGCACGGCCATCTCCTCTGCATGTGGGTGAGTGGCTCGTGCTGCCATGGGCCCCTCTTCCCAGTAGCTATGCCTCTTCAGTTGCTCCACTTCTTGCTGTGACATGCACAGTGAACGGCGTCCCCCATCTGGCCTGTGCAGATGTTTCTCTGACAAGCCCCCTCAGGAGCCCATGTAGAGCAGGGGCTGGGCTGATGGGCCACACGTGGTGCTATCACCCATACGAAACAGCTTCCTCCCTGTTGCGCCTCAGAACAGGAAGCATTGTGCCTTCACTGCCTTCACCATCAAGCTCTTGGCTGGCCAGTGTCATCCCAGACGGGCTGCAGAACCAGCCTGGGAAAGAGCAGACAGAAGCCCCTGCCAGCCCAGCCAGACGTCCCTGCCATGGTCACCAGGCCATCAAGCGGGGTGAGTGAACAGGGCTCCTGTCCAGGCTGGTCTTTCTAACAGGGACCAGTTCAGCACTGTGGCTTTTCCCTGGGTGTGGCTGCAGCCTTTCCCAAGGGAAGCTGCTCTAGGTGACCCAGCCCTGGAGGGGCCCTGGTGGCCCTGGTCCATGTCACCTGCCCTGGGATCGTCCACTCCAGGCCCCCTTTTACTGAGATCAGTGAGGCGCAGAGCTGTGCAGAGTCATGGGGGGGTCTGTAAATGAGGGGACGGGACCCAGCAGGGGGAGATGATGTGGCCGAGACCCCAGGTCTCAGCTTCCATGTCCCGGTCTCCCAATAGCCACAGACACTTGCTGAGCCCCCGACATGGGGGCTGTGAGGCCTGGCAGAGGCAGGAGGAGACCGGGGTCGGGCAAGACCCCCCGGCTGTGGGAGGCCGGGCTGTGTAAGAGGGTAGTGGGGCCTCGCCGGCTGCTCCTTCCTCTTCCTGCCTGAGTCAGCTCCCTGCTTTCTTAACGCCTCCGGAGCTGCCTGGGCGGGTCTGTCTCTTGGCAGAGCCTGTGTCCATGTGTCTGAGTGTGAGTGTGAGTGTGAGTGTGAGTGTGAGTGTGAGTGTGAGTGTGTGCGTGAGTGTGAGCGTGAGTGTGAGTGTGTGCGTGAGTGTGAGTGTGAGGAGTGTGAGTGTATGTGAGGGGTGTGTGTTGTGTGTCTATGGTGCGTTTTCTCGGTGGTGTGTCCATTGCTTCTCTTGGATTCTCAGCAGTTTCACATCTCAGGCCTGAAGACATAAAGGCATTGGGTGACAGCTGAGTTATAGGGGGACAGGCATATAGACAACCAGGCTCCTGGAGGCCTGTCCCAGGGCGGGGTGGGGGGTGGTGGAGATTGGAGCCCTGTTTACACTGGGAGCCAACTGCACACTGCTGTCCCCTCCTCCAGCCCACGTCCCCCTGGCACGCAAGCCCTGTCCTCTTCCCCAACTCTGTGTATGTGTGCTGGGGTCCCCACTGCTGCTCCCAGCTGGTCTCCCAGAGCTCCCTTCCTCTGAGGGTACCTGGAACCACAGGGTGGAGGAGGAGGGGCAGCCGTGGTGGGATGGGCAGGGGAGAGTGAGTCCTCCCCTGGCCCAGGGCACAAGTGAGTTGGCCAGATGCTAGGGAATTGCAAAGAAGAGCTGCTGAGAAGCGTTGGGGGTCCATCTGTGACCCAGCAGCTTCACAATGCAGGGGCCCCCACCCCACCCAGGGCTGCACTAGGCCACTACTGAGTCTGGGACCTGTGCTAGTGGTTCCCCCACAGCATCAAAGGAGTCCCTATCCCCAGGAGGTCCTGGCATGGCAGAGGCTTAGCCCATCAGGAGTGGGGCCACAGGGCCTTACTCTGTGGATGTCTGACCTTTGAGGGGAGGGCAGTTGACCGAGGACTGGCCTGGCCCAGGCCATGCAGGGTCTCACTGCAGCTCAGCATGTGCCCATGAGCAAATAGTTGAGACAAGCGTTGGCAGAGGGGACTCAGGGCTGCCCCAGTGCTCCCCACCAGTGAGAAAATCGAGGCATTTCCTGAGGGGCCGGCTGGGCAGCCAGATGCCTCTCCAGCAGCCTCAGGTCTCTGCTGAAATCTGGGTGGGTACCCTGCCCAACAGCAGTCAGCTTGCCCCAGGTACAGCAGGCGTGCAGCAAGACAGTTATTACCTGGAGATTCTGTGGTGTGGACGAGACCGTCCAGTGGCTTGCAGAGGCTCTGCAGAGGAGGCACGCGCTGTCCAGGGGATGGGAGGGGCAGGCCTGCATCCTGTCCCACTGTGGAAGAGTGTGACGAGAGCAGGACGCTTGGCTTCCCATCTGTGAAGTGGGGGGGCTGGGCTGGGCTGGGCCAGCCCATAGCTTAACTTCTCCAGCTGATTCTATAATCGAATATAGAATTCAAAACTCGCTTACAGGGAATGGCGGTGTGGGGGACGTGTGGGCGAGGGGTACCTGTGTCCAGGGGGTTCCTGCAGCTGCAGCTCAGGCCCAGGTTGAGTCCCAAGGGCATGGGATAGGCGCTTGCCCATGGATGGGGCAGCAATGAGCCTTTGGTGACACCGTGTGACTCAGGCCCCCACCAGCTCTGTGGGACATGTCTGGAGGGCTCACCTTTGTGCACACCTGTCACTTTGTGAGTGTCCATAGTCTTGCCTGAGGTGATGTCATGGGGTGGCTGGCTACATTTTACAAATGAGGACACTGCCTGTGAGGGATTAATGCCACTTGTGTTCACCCAATGGGTAAGGGGCCTGACCATGCTGAGAAACCCCAATCCTGGGGCTCTCCGTCTCTTGGTGATGTCTGGGTGACAGCCACCAGGCAAGCCGGGTCAGGGTGCTAGCTGTGGTCAGTGTCTGTGTTTCTCTGCACAGACTGGACCTAAAATAAGAATGTTGTTTGTGATCATCACACCCCACACCTGCCTGTGACCGTGTGGTGGGGCCCCAATGGAGGGCATCTGCCCAGCATGCGCTCTGGGAGACAAGTGGGCAGCTGGGTGGCGCCGGGGTGCCCAAGCCGCAGAGGGCCCTGTGATCTTGAGACCCCGCTTGTCCCAGACAACTCGAGCCTCCTCTCTATGCATGGGCGTCCCACCAAGTGGGCTAGCAGGGGTCTGCATTTGGCTACAGCCGCTGCACTTGGGACGGGGCCTGAAGTGAGAGGGGTGCTGCTCAGTGCTCCTGGGGCAGGAAAGAGCTCTCCAGCCCCTGTTCTCCCCGCAGGGCTGGCTGTGGACAGAGTGGGGGCCCTCGACTGGGTGGTGATTTCCAGTCACTTCCACTATTGGTGTGGGCGCCTTGGTGACACGGTGTCACAGGTGACGTGAAGTTTGGCAGGCACATCCAGCTCCTGGAGCTGCCCAGCCTGTGACCTGGGCAGGCTTTCATGCTTTGGCCCAGGGCTCCCACCTCTGAAGCTGAGGGTGTCCAGGCCACTCACCCTCCCAGCAGCCAAGTAGCAGGGCCCAGTAGTTAGGGAGCAGGCAGACCCCGGCTTCTTCGTGAGCCCCTTGCGTGAGCCGAGCCCCTGCTCAGCACAGAAACCACACAGCCTGGGTTTGAGAATGGCCTCATGTGTGGTCAGCTGGGCTCTGTGGGAGGTGTGGTGTCAACCGCCTACAGCTTTGATGGGGGGAGAAATGTGCCCTTGCAGCCTCCAGAACCTGCAGAGTAGGAAGCCGCCATAGCCTATCCACCTCAGCTCTGAAGTGAAACACAGCCCAGCAAGCTTCCCTGAACCTGGCATCTGCGAAGTCAGTGTTTCCAGATAACAGAACCAATAGGAAGTGTGGTATGAGTGTGAGTGTGTGAGTGTGTGTGTGCGTGTGCGTGCAAGTGCATGCATGCACGTATGAGTGTTTGCGTGCATGTGAGTGTGTGCACGTGTGCGTGTGTGTGTGGGTATGCATGTGTGAGTGACTGTGTGTGTGTGCTCGTGTGTGGGAGAGAATGTATGTGTGCATGTGAGTGTGTGAGTGTGTGTGTATTCATGAGTGTGAGCGTGCATGAATGTGTGTGTGTATGTGTGCGTGTTGTGTGTGCAGAGACAGATTTATTTTGTGGAGCTGGCTCATGTGATTGTGGGGCCTGGCAAGCCCAAACTCTGCAGGGCAAGCCTGAGACCCAGGGACGCGTCCATGCTGCAGCTGGAGCTGGAAAGCCTTGTGAAAACAGAAGTCCCCCCTCCAGGAACCTCAGTCTTCTTAAGGCCTTCAACCGATTGGGTGAGGCCCACCCACACTGTGCAGGGCAGTCTGCTTTACTCCAGGTTCAATGTTAATCTCATCTAGGAAATACCTTCTTAGCAGCCTCTAAGCCCGAGTTCGAGCAAATACTTGAGTACTGTGGTCCAGCTACATTGGTACATGAAATTCACCATCATAGCATCCTTGGTTCTCTGTAACAAGAGAGGAAACTGAGGCTCAGGAGTTGAAATGGCCTGTCCACAGTCACTCAGCTGCTGGGCGTAGGTTTGAGAGTGTCAACCCTGGGGTCAGGCTGACGTGGGCCCCAGTCCCGGCATCTGTCCTGACTGTGTGGCTTGGGGAAGGGACTGACCCTCTCTAAGCCATCCTGTGGAGTGGGTAGCATGCACAGCCACCCTGGGTGGATGTGAATAAACCGAGGCCATGAGTGCAGCATGTAGCCAGGCCAGCAGGGCGGGTGCTGTGGGCAATGCCCAGTCTTGTTAGTGTGGGACCCACAGTCCTGAGTAGCTGTCCCAGCAGGGGCCACGGCCCACTGGTGGGAGCTCCCTGTGAACCCATATCCTTCCACCTCGGGCGTCCCGCAGCTACCCACCCCCCAGGAGCTGTCACAGAGCAAGCCCCAGCTTCTACGGGGTTGGGGTGGGGGTCGGGCCTCCTGGAATCTCAGATCCGGCCAGTCTGACACACAGAGACCACTGTGCCCACATGGCATGGTTCCCTGCTCTGGAGGCTTCCAGGGAGAGGGTCACCTGGGGGTGCAGCACCCTGCGCTACAGTTAGAAGTAGTCTGAGGGCTTCCTGGTGGCTGAGAACCTGAGGCAGGGGCTGAGGCCAGCCGTGTGGACAGCAAGACCTCACCAAGCTGGGGCCCCTGCCTGGGGGGGGGGGCTCTCTGAGCAGCAGGCCACCTGAGTACACCCCAGCATGGGGTCGTTTTCTCCCAGTGCTCCAGGGGCTGGGGGCACTCACATAGTCAGCCCACAGGAACAGCACTTCCCCCCAGTTCATTTTACATAGTGTGGATGTGGTTGTGTGGGTTTTCAAGTGTGAGGGAAATTCAGTGGGAGTGTGGAGGTGGGGAAGCTGCGAGGTCTCTGCAGAGGTCAGAATCTCAGCGCCCGGAGAAGAGATAGGCAGCCACCTACTCAGTGAATGGACGAGTGAGAAAGCGAGTCAGTGAGTCACCTAGGAGCAGGGGCCGCAGCAGGGAGGTCCCCAGCGGCCCCGCAGCTGTGTCAACGCTTCCCAGCCATGGAGTAGCTGGCCTCACAAATGCTGCCAGTAGGGACAGAAACTGACAGCATTTGGAACCTGGAGAGCAAACTTCAGGGCAATTTATCAACCATCATGAAATTCAGATTTTTTTTAGATGTATGAATTTAAAAAAAAAACACACCAAAAAACCACCATTCCATATGCTTATCGTAGAACGTTTGGAAAACACAAACAGAAATAACGAAGAAAGTGGAAAATATTTACAGTGGCACCACCCAGACAGAAACCTGGATGGCTTGGCACACTTACCTACCTTTCCTGGTTTCCCAAGGTCACCTTTTTACTCTGAAAACTGGGCTGTTTGCACATCTCGTTGCTGTGCAGCCTCCCCTGCGTGGGCACCAGGAATGTGCAAAACGTTTTCCATTCCACAGCTAGATGAGGAATGTAGTCACTTTGTTGCTCCTGACCACTGGCCAGGGCGGCTTTGTCCTAAGTTTATTAACTGGTTGGGTGTCCTTTGCGAATTGTCTGTTCCTGCCCGCAGCCTTTTCTCTGGGCTGCTTGCCTTTTGTTAATGCATTTCTCAGATCTCCTGGGAGATAAGGGTTACCACTCACCTTTTGCATTAGATAGTAATTAAATATTTTCATTTTTAAAATTCCATTTTTTTATGTACCAATGTGTTGTTTCAGAGTCAATCTATCTTCTTGACCTTTTTTCCCTTAGGTTTTACGTTTAGGTGTCCTTACTCTGAGGTACACATTCGTCTATTTGTTTTATCATTTTATTTCCTAAAACTGAATTTACATACCCGTGGTGTGAAGGGCTGCCATGATGGTGTGTCCCTGAGAGCCACTGGGCACCGGGGTGTGTGGTGTGCTGGGAGACCAGACTCGCCTTCCCGGGATGGCACGTTTCTGCTCAGCCCTGTTGAGGCCACTGTCCAAGCCGCTGTCTTCCCTCATGTGGGCTGGGCCGTGGGTCCGGAGCTCCTCAGCACATTCACGGCCTTGGAAATAACACGTGCCTCTGGCTTGACTCTTCCTTTCAAAGCTCCTCAGCGATCGTTGCCCATGTTCTCTTCCAGTCGACCCAGGAAACGGGTTCGATGCAATTACCAGTTTTTGCTTTTTTTGTTTATTTCTGATTTACCGACTTCCGCCCTTACCTGTGTGTTTTCTGCCTCTGCCACCAAAGCTTTGCTGGTCTTTCCCAAACTCCTGGATCCCTCGTGCCTGGGCATGTTCCGTCATCCCTTTTCACTCATCACTAAAGCATTTAAGGATTGGCCTCATGTCCCCAAGGGGACAGAGGGTGCCATCACACTGCATACAGGACATTTGTGTCACCTTTTCTGAAGTTTGTAAATATAAGTTTGATTTCCTCTTTAACTTACGAGATATGCAGCAGTGTTTTGAAATTTCTAATAATGTGTGTGGTGGGAGGTCTGTTTTTATTCCATTTGGTCAGAAACTGCGGCCCTTCAGATTTCCGCTCTCAGACTTCACCGATGGCGAATTACCGTGTCCGCAGGGGGCCGGACGATGTCTTTGTGGCACCAGAGGTTCAGCAAGCTGTAGGCTGTGTCCTCCTTGATCCCCTTGCCCTTTGTGTCCCCTGCGTCAGTCTGGACCCCTGAGATCTGAGGCTGTGTGTGCCCACACAGCTCCTGGAGCTGAGCCCTGTCCAGTTCTCTTGAGTGTTGATATAAAGCAGATAAAAAAGATTGTGACACTTTTTGGTTTAAAAAGGCTGAGGCCTCTTTTAGACCCGTTGTAGACGTTTGCCTTTTTTCCTCCATGGGGCAGCCTGAACTGTCCGGTCCCAGGGCGAGGGGAGTCCCCGCCTTCTCTACATTTTGCTTTCCCACAGGACGCCATCTATGCTCGCTGCTCCCTGGCACTTGATTTGGCGCCTCTTGTAATTACGGTGGGTTTATTCTCTGACCCCGACAACGTTGGTCAAGGGCAGGCTCCCATGTGAAGAGCTGATGGTCAGTGAGGCTGGGGACTCGAGCGGCCTTGTCTGAGGTTTGCACTCTGGCAGGAAGCCTGATATGACACCAGCGTCTTGTCCTGACTCAGACGCTGCGCCTCCCTCTGCTGCTTGCTCAACTTTCTTTTGTAACATTTCCTCTTTTTCTTATCTTTTACCAAATATAGATATTTTTTCGTGTGAGGGTGTGTGATTTGGAAGGAATACTCAATTTTTCTTCTAACGCTCCTTCCGTGTCTGAGAACCTGACTTTAGCACTTTGTCCTTGGTGAGGTGGGACCATCCGTAGCTGCATTCACTGGGTGCGGACAGGAGGACGCCTGGCACTTGGCCTCAGGAAGACGGCTAGTGCAGGGGACTCGGGGATGCCACTTCCTGAGTTGCTCTCGGTTATGACATCTCCCCCCTGGTGGGCAGGGTCGAGGTTCTCACAGGCTGCTGGGGCCAGAGGTTTCTGAAGCCGCCTGACTTGGGGTTTTGCACCTTGCGTATTTTTTTTTTTTGGCTGAGCCATCCTGCCACCTGTTGGCAGCTCAACAGCAGCTCAGCTCGGGCCGGGCATCGAACCGCTGTTGCTCAGAGCTCAAACTCTTGAGCGAGCTCTTAACCAACTGAGCCACTCGGCCAGCCCCTCACCTGGAGTCTTGGTGAGGGGCCATTCTAGATCTGGGAAGATTGCGGCCTGGCTGGTGGGGAGGGCGCCCAGGCCTCTGACGGCGGGGGACCGGGGACACCGGGACATCAGAGGCCTGGCTCGGACCCGTGCCGTCCTCCCTCCTGGCCCTGGCCCCTCGTCTCGGCTTAGCCCTGCGCCTCCCACTTGCCTGCTCACTCTCGCACCAGCTGTCCTTGCTGAGTCCAGGGCCTGCCGGTACCAGGTGCTAAGATCCCTGTACATACTATCGCCATCCAAGTAGTCCTCCCAGAGCGGGGCACAGGCCCATAAACCCCCGTCACACAGCGGAAACCGACGCAGAGTAAGCCCTGAGGCATCCTCTCTCCCGGGCTCGGGCACTGCCCGGTGCTGACCGGGGGCCAGCCTCCAGGACGACGCCCACATGGGCCTTGGTCTATAACGGTCCATGAGCTGGATGCAGGCAAGACCCTGGGCCTCTGAGGGCTCGTGGGGCTGCCAGGCACATCCACTGTGGCCCCGCTCCAGGCCCAGTGAGGAGGGGCCTACTCTGTCCTGCTTGACTGAGGCGGAGAGCAGGGCTGCTGGGCGGGCTCCGTGCTCTGCCTCCTTCCATCTGTCCACCCTCTGAGTCCACAGAGCCACCCAGAGCCGCCATGTGTGCAGGCGTCCTGACCTCACTCAGCTGTGTGGCAGACAGGGTTGGGGCAGGGCCATCTGTCTAGTGCTGGAGCAAGCGAGACATCACCCTGAGGAGCACGTAGTCCCCCCTGCCCAGTCCGGCTTCCTGTTGCCCAGGTCAGAACCCTGCGGTCTGTGGGTCTTGCCCTGATCACAGAGCACTCCCCTCTCTGTGGGAGGAAGTGCATGGTTTCATTGTCACAGATCCACATTCTGCTGCTGCTTGGGCCTCAGTTTCCCCATGTGAGGACGCGAGGAGTTTACAAGCTGGTTGTCATGCGTGTATGGGGCCTGGTCTGTGGCCACAGGAGAGAGGGCAGTGCTGCATTTGCAGGTCCTGACCCAGCGTGGGGGATGTACTCACCCTGCTGGACCAGAGGCATGGCTGGGGCATGTGCGGAGGGGGCTCCCTGCCCTCTACTTGGAGAGCCTCAGCCCCAGAAGTGGGGTGCTATCCTGAGGCTGACTGGGCCTTGCGCCCTGGGGCAATGCAGGTCAGCCGAGGGTTCGGTGGGCACGCCTGGGGCGCAAGTCCAGCTGCCAAACTTAGGGGGACACAGATGGAGAGTTGAGGCCAACCAGCCTTGGCCTGAGTTCCATGACCCACAGCGGGGCGACACGGGGGCTTTCACAAGTGGGGGTCCAGGAGTGAACCGAAACCGCTGCCCTGGCTGGCCGCCGCTGTGATCCAGAAGCCAGAGCGGGCAGCAGTTCTGCTTTTGACCCAAATGGGAAGGACCGAGGGTTCTGTGTTGACATTTCTGGGTCCTGAGTATAATATTGTGGGGAGTGGGGAGCAGGGTTACCTCTGAAGAGGTAGGAACTTGGGGCTGGGCAGGAAAGCAGAGCAGATGGCAGGACCCACGAGCAGGGTGCACCCAGAGCCCGTGGGCAGGGACCATGCACACCCAGAACCCCACAGGCCATGGCAGGGACCACATAGTCCTCAGGATAGGCGGGCCCCAGGCGGACCCCACGTTGGGCCCTCTGTCAGCCTAGGCAGACTTACCCCAATTAGGGCCCCCACAGCCCCCCTGCTGGCTCACTGGCACGGGGCAGTGCGTTGGGGGGCAGGGCACCCCAGGAGCCTCAGAGGCCTGCCCTGTGAAGAGCAGCTGGCATTCACATTACATTTAGGGTGAGCTGTGCCGATCTTTGTTTCTGATAAAACACGGCCCCTTCCTGCCTACCTGCCTCCTGCCTGCCACTTCCTCAATGTCAGATGAAAGTTCACAGTCAGCTCTCGAGTTCTCAGACCTGGAGGCCTGCCACCCAGGCAGCCAGTATCGTGCGCACGCGTGTATGATGGCGTGCACATGTGTATGATTGTGTGTGCATGTTTGTGCATGTGCGTCACTAGCAGGAGGTCTGCTGGGCTCAGGGCTGTGGCAGCCCAGCCGCCCGCTCAGGCCGCTTTCCTGCCGGCATGCAGCCCCTTTCAGGGCACTCAGGGAGACTGACCTGTGCTGGCCTCACGACACTGCTAACGTCCCCAGCAGCAGGCACAGGGCCTCCCGGCACTGCTTTTCCAGGCTGGCATGGAGGGGCTCCACGGGTACTTCGCCCCAGAGCCTGAGGCCCTGAGCTGTCACCAAGACCCCTCCCTCCACAGGACATGCTGCACCAGCACTGTCTGCTGCTCACCCTGGTGTGTCTGCTCACCCTCGGGTCTGGTGAGTTCTGTGGAACATTCCGGGTTGGTTGGGAAGGATCCCCTGCTCCCTCACATCCTCCTGGAGGCCCCTTCCTGGAGCCTAGCAAACATGTGCCCCCGGGCTTGTCTGGTCCGCCTCCGGGTCCCGCTGCTGACCTTCCCTGTCCATCCACCCCTGAGTGTGGGCTTGGTCATCCATCCGCCCCCCCCATCACTGCAGCCCCTTGTGCCACCAGCTCTCTGCGTGGGAGCCCTGCTCACAGGGCCCGCCTCTCGCCCCCAGGCCTCCCCCAGGAGTGCACCAAGTACAAAGTCAACACCTGCCGGGACTGCATCCAGTCGGGCCCTGGCTGTGCCTGGTGCCAGCAGCAGGTAAGAGCTTCACACCTGGCTGGGCCAGCCCACCCTCCCACGTCCCGGGCCAGACCTCCTTTCCCTGTCTCTGAAACTGCGGGCACTCAGGACCCTCACCAGTCCCTTTCCCCAGGGCACAGGGCTGTCCGAGGGGCAGACAGACAGGCCCTGGCCCAGGGCATCCTGGAGGCCGACTGAGTGAGGCTGTGCTAAGTCCAGCCAGCACTGCAGTGCTGTGTCCTGGGCCCTGAGGCAGGAGGCAGGAAAGGCCAGCTTCATGTCCTGTCCCCAGGGAGGTGGCAGGTGATCCACCCCTCAGAATATGGACAGGAAGTGCAGAAGTTCTCTACCGGGACCCTAACTCCCTCTTGTCTTCAGTCTTCTTATGTTTTAGGGTGAGACCCCTGAGGAGGAAGGCAAAGGCCCCACACAGCCAGGGCACAGAGTAACTCCTTGTCCCTGAGTCACAGCCCCTGTCCCAGGGCACCCTCCTCCTGGAGAGACACCCTCCCTGGGGACCCCAAGTCCCTGACCACACCCTTCTCCCCTGGGACCCTGCAGACACTGACCACACCCTCCTCTCCTAGGATATCCCAGATCCTGACCACACTGCACCCCTGGGAATGCCCCCAGACACTGACCACACTCCCCTTCCCCTGGAGGGCCCTGAGGCTCTGACACTAGGTCTCTTTGGAAACACAGGTGCACACACACATTATTAGTTTTTCTCAACCATTCGACGGTACATAGCAGACATGAAGCCATTTTGTCCCTTAATATTCCAAAGGTCTTTCTTAGGAACAAGGTATTCACTTAAAACCAAAAAGCAAATGTGCCAGTTGTTCCAATAATGTTTTGATAGCAATTTGATCCCTGGTGGAAGTTGTAACCCAGGACCATGCACTGCATTGAAAACGTCAGGTCTCTTAGCGTCCTTGAGTCTGGAACATTCCCCACATCTGGGATGTTTCTGGAGCTTCAGGTCAGCAGTGTCTTGGACTGCCTGTCAGTGTGGGTCTGTCTGCCGTGCCCCCCATTCTGTCCAGCCGAACCTTGGCGGGCGCCCCGCACAGGGCCTCGCGCTGTCATTGCCCCAGCACTAGTGACTCTGGCTTGGACCCCTGCTGAGGTGGCGCCTGTGAGGCTTGTGCACCGTGAAGTCACAGGTTCCCTTTGCAGCTACTAAGCAACCTGTGGGAAGGTGCCTGAGGCCAGGAAACATTCTGCCCCCATCAAGCTTCCGCCCACGAGCCTTCGCCTCCACCCATGATTTGTGTCCCATCAGTCATCACCGGGGTGGCTCATTGACTCTTTCTAATGGCTTCTGATGTCAGGAGAGTTTTCCCTTCCCCTAGTCTGTCTGTCTGTCTCTCTCCCTCTCTCGCTCTCTCACAGGTAGCGACCCATGGATTTTTATTGTATGTGGTAGCTTATAATCCATCACTGCCATTTTGTCGTTGTCATGCTCAAATTGTTCCAGAGGTGGCCATGGGGCGCCTCTCTAGGCTGGCTCTGTGACCTGGGTGTCCCCAGCCTCCTTTTCAAGCCCTTTCTTACTCTGAAGTAATAAGATGCTGCAGACCGGTCCTCACTGTGGCCCGGCCGCAGAATCACGCCATTCTCAGGGCCTTCCTGGTGTTCCCTTTCGTGAGGACCCGCAAACACTTCCTCCTTTCCTCAATCTTATGACACAGAAGGTGGTCTCAGACCTGCCAGCCCACACCACTTCCCCGAGCAGCCCATGGGAGAAGTCGGTGTGATCCGAGTTCCTCCTGCCGTCGGGCATGGTCACCTCGCAGGGTGAAAACGTCCCTCTCTGGGTGGATCCCGCCCCCCGCCCTTCCTCGTGAGCTTATTATAGTCATTTGAAATTCTTTAGGGCCAACTGTTCTGTGTGATTACATCTTGGGGTTTTTCCTTCTCCTTTCCTGTTAATTTTATTTCTCGAGTACCTAAAGCATTCACAGGGTTCCAACAGAGAGACAGTGCAGCGGCAGCTCAGGAAGCACAGCCCCTCCCCTGTCCCCACCATGTCCCCAAGCCCCTGCACCTAGGCAGCCTCTGCCTGCCTGGCGACTCCTCCAAGTCTCCATTGAGAAAGGAAGCACCGATGTGACTATGCTTTCAGCAGCTCCTAGTGTTGGCACGCTGTCCCCTGGGTGCAGCTGGCTCTGGCCCAGCGTCAGGACCCACCCAGGGGAGCCCCTTCTCTTTCCTGCCACGTCAGAACCCAGGGGGCCTCGATGGGAGCAAAGTGGTCATGAGGAAAGCACCCTGGATCCAGGACCCCATGCTGCTCCATGACCCCCTCTGGACTGTGAGGGGCTTGGCCCAGAGTCCTGGCCTGTGTTCCGGGGTGCCCTGAGGTACCCTGAGGTGCCCCAGTGCTGCCATGCAGGCTGGGAGGGGACACCGTGTTCCCTCGGGAGACAGCCACTCCCTCCCACAAAGGTTCTGCCGATGGAGGGCAGAACCCCCCGCCGGACGCTCAATGAGGCTGCTACTGGCTCTGGGCTGTGCAGGGTTTGCCCAACGGTCAGTCTGGGCTGGACACGTTGGCTCTCAAGTGCTTTCTGCTGCTGAAGGCAGTGGGAGAACTGCCCCCCACACACACACACACCTCTAGTGTGGTCTGGGAGGCTCATGGACAGGCCACCTGGGCAGCAGGTATCTCCCGGCAGGCTGTCCAGACCCTACCCCGTCCCCTCACCACAGGGACATCTGTATCCCAGAGAAAATGAGAAAGGTCAGGCCCGTATTTCCTCCTAACTCCTCCTGACATCTGACTCCCCGCCCACCCCCAGAACTTCGCCGGGCCGGGGCAGCCTGACTCCATTCGCTGTGACACACGGGAGCAGCTGCTAGCTATGAAATGTGCAGCGGATGACATCATAGACCCCAGGAGCATTGCTGACAGCCAGGTGGACCAGAAGGGGGGTCAGAAGCAGCTGTCCCCACAGAGAGTGACGCTGTACCTGAGACCAGGCAAGCTTGGCCCCAGCTGGGGGTCTGCGGGTGGGGACTGCGTCTCTTTTAATCCCGTGTTCTCTGTTCTTTGTAAAAGGGAGAAAAAAACATCTGGAGAAAACTATTCTCTCTCCCTCTCAGACAGCCCATTACTCCTGTAGCCAACAACCTGAGTCACGGTTTAAACCCGTGTTAACCAAACCGACTTGCCCCTCACTCTCCCCTGTCTCTGCGGCAGGTCAGGCAGCTGCGTTCAACGTGACCTTCAGGCGTGCCAAGGGCTACCCCATCGACCTGTACTATCTGATGGACCTGTCCTACTCCATGCTCGATGACCTCATCAACGTCAAAAAGCTGGGGGGCGACCTGCTCCGGGCCCTCAACGAAATCACGGAGTCCGGCCGCGTCGGTGAGGCCGACCCACTCAGTCCTGCCCTGAATCCTGGCTGGCCGTGCTGCCCACACACCTCCCCGCACCCACATCCTGAGCGGCAGGGCCCTGGGGCGTCCTCGCCAAGGACACACCTGGGTTCTAGCTCTCCTGACACTGTACACACCGCCGGCCCCTCCGCTCCCTCGCCCCTCTTTCCTTCTCCTTGTTTGTTCCTTGATACATTCAAAACACAGTAGTGCTTCAGTGTCAGTTATTAAAAAAATGAAGCCTGCCAAATCATACCATTAAAGAGACAATCACGGCAAACACGCAGACCTGACCGCAGGCCAAGGGGCCTGCGTGCTACGCAGCAGGGCCTTGTTGACAAAGTGCGAGTCTCAGGCACACCCCACCCTCATCTCTGCCTCCTTGTGAGCTGCTGTCTCTATTGCGGGGACACACACACACACCACACACACGGTCACACACGTGCACACGCTTGGACACACAGCTGCGCACTCACATGCCCACGGCCCGTCCTACTGTCTCCCCTGCCCTCCCACCGCCTGATGCCTGCTCTGCTCCTCACCACCGCCCCCCCACCCCTCAGGCTTCGGGTCCTTCGTGGACAAGACGGTGCTCCCCTTCGTCAACACGCACCCCGAGAAGCTGAGGAACCCGTGCCCCAACAAGGAGAAGGAGTGCCAGCCCCCATTCGCCTTCAGGCACGTGCTGAGTCTCACTGACAACTCCAACCAATTCCAGACGGAGGTGGGGAAGCAGCTGATTTCTGGGAACCTGGACGCCCCTGAGGGCGGGCTGGACGCCATGATGCAGGTCGCCGCGTGTCCGGTGAGGCCCTACCACAGATCTCCCGACCTGAGGGCCACCTTCACCTTGTGTCCTCTTAGGGACCTGATGAGCCCCAGGCCCTGCTGGTTACCCACAGATATCACTATCAGCTGATAGGGGAAGTCAGGCAAATCATCCGAAGCCTAAATGTGAGCAAGGATCTTGCAAAGTGAGGCCACTAAGTGGCCGGATCCTGGCGGTTCCTGGAGCAGAACCACCCCCCACCTCCAGGCCCCTCGGGACACGGGCGTCCTCGCCATGTGGCTTAGGTGGCCGTGTCCAGCCTGCCCCTCGCCCAGCCGCCCTGCCCTGTCGGTCCACCCACTACATTCACGATCGAAATGGCAGTGGCACTGTCAACCCATGTTGGAAATCACGTGGTCCTGGCCTCGCACAGCACCAGCCCTCCAGCTGCTCTGCAGGTCGCTGGCATATTGTTCTTGCGTCACAGACACATTCACTGTGACAACACGCGTGTTGCGAACGTGCCTGCCTCTCCCATCCGTTTCGGAGCCACTAGGTTCCTTCCTCTTTTGTGTCCGCAGTGATAAACATTATGATAAACATTTCTACAAGTATTTTCTTTCCCTCTTTGGGAATAGTTTCTTTAGGACTTAATCCCACATCTGCACTGATTG